CTCAATAACATTACCAAAATGATGTTTATGTTTTGGAAGGGGCTTTGACTGCAAGATGTCCATTCTTCCAGACTTCTCAGCTCTCTGGAATGAAACAAACAGCTCACTGAAGCATTAAACCTTACTTATGCTTGGTTTGCTTTAGTTGAACCAAGGTGAATAAGAGTCATAACAGTAGTATAACCATGAAGCAGGTCATCCTTTATGTCATTACATTCTCTTAACACGAAATTCCCAGTAACTATTCGATCACATCCTATTTCCCCATGTCCGAAAAAGCCAAAGAGGGGCACATTTGGAAAGAACTTCCTAAATGCATCAGCTTCCATATTCCTTTTGGTTTTGTAATGCCGATATCCTCTGCCGACGCAGGCAAACATGAAGCCAATGGTGTTGTGCTCGGGGATGTTCGCTGCTTTGAGACGCTGCATGGCTGCTTCTGCTGTCCTCTCATCAGCCACATCCTGGTCTAGCAGGACAGTGGCACTCTGGATCTGGGGGCCGCTGAAAGCCAACCCAACCACACCGCAGGCGTCACCAGGCTGGGCGTGGTTACTGAAAGGCAACGGCACCGAGTTAGAGCATTCTGGGGGAACCACTCCTCAGCAGCCTGAACTGCTGCTGCAGCAGCCCTGGGTGCACAGCAGCTGACACTGCAGTGATTCTGATACCAGCCAAAGTTAGAAAGCAAATCAAAGACTTCATATTTTAGCAATGTTTTTGTGTAGCAATCTTTCACAAAGAAACCTTCCATATCCATTACTAGGTATTAACCATAAACTTGTTTCACTCATTCCAAACTCAGTAGTTTGTGTATGTCACAGCTCTGCAATTCAACTAAAACATCAGTTAAACTTAGGACAAGCAAAGGCACTGAGGATTTATACAGTAAAGCAGGGCAGCAGTCAGTAAAGGTTTTGGATTCATGTTGCTTTAAATTGGTTGGCCAGGACACACGGGGTCAAGTAGTTACATACTTAACCTTTATCTGCAGAGACTTTACTTAAGGTCAGCTCTCTTATCTGGGGCAATGGCCCAGACTGATGGCAAATCAGATGCAAGGAACACGTTGATATTAGTATGGACTCCAGGCCCGCATTGGGACGAGAGGAGCTATGGGCATGGCTGCACTGTGCTCCACAGGACGGAATGCCACGTCCTCCAGCAGCCAGGGCACATCAGGTGAGCTCCTGGGCACAGCCTTGCTGTGTGTGTGCAGCTACTGCTCCGTGCTGTGAGCCAAACTGAGGCACATACACACACACATGTTCACATCCCGGGCTCTGTCACAACAGGCACTCATTTACCTGCACTCCAGAGATGAATGCTGACTGCAATAAACACACAAAGGTATCTGAAGCTAGAAATTGCCTTTCCATTGGGTTTCTCCTAGCTGGGTTTCCAGAATCCAAACTGCAACACAGCCATACCAAGCTTCCAGCTTTTCTGGCTACATCACAGTGTAGTAGTTGTGGCATTTTTCCCTTTAAGAAATTGTTATTTTCCTACTGGTAAAGGGGATTTTCAATATAACTAGAAGGCTATGGATCTGCAATGTTTCTCTCACGTAAAATCTTTTTCATCATTTACCTTGAAAAAAATACCTACTTCTCAGAGGTCAGTGATGTAAAGCTCTCCACTTGTCCTCCAGCCAGGATGATACTTTTCTCATTCAATGGATTGACTATTTGATGAAGAAATCGAGTAGCTCCAGTCTTCCAGGAGTTGTAGCCAAACAGAAGAACAACACGGAGATCTGGGTTATTCTTCAGACCTACAAACAAAAGCCAACACTGATCCCCTTATTTTTAAATCCTGAACTCTGAAGTCCAACCATTCTAGTTTCTCCTCAAATATTACATCACACCTCCCTCTGAACAGCTCCACTTAAAATGGAACTGAAGGAACTGGAAACCGATACTCTGGATAACTTCTCCTTACTGCTCCAGGGACTGGGAGGAGCAGAGATGCACAGTCACCAGCTGGAGCCCCACAGAGGCTCTTGGAGCCAGTGCAGAAGCTGCTGGTTCTACTCAGAACTCCACTGGCACCTCAGAGAGCAGCATCTCACAAAAAGCCCACATAAAGGAGAGAAAACGACATACCTGCTTCAGCAAACTTGCTTTCATCAAAGACCCTGTTCTTCACGTCTTTAGAAAAATGAAAGGTATGAATTTTCACCCCATCAATTTTGGGAAACAACAGAGCAAACCCAGCTTCACCCTCTTCAATTTCTTGAGGTTGATTGCTGCTTGAACCCATTGGAGTAACTACAGAGACAAAACCAAGCATCTTGTGTTCAGAGATTCTAATACATTCATTTACATGACACAGGCAGAAAGAGGTTGAACAGCTCAGGTGATATTAAACATGATAATCTATTTCCATAACAACTTATCTAACTGAAAACTGTGATTTTTTTGTTAATGTTTTGGAAAGATGAAACGTGTAGGTCCTGCTGGCTATTGATCCCACTGAAATCAGTTTTGACATGGAGACATGGATATATTTACACATATCTCCCCAGGCACATCAAATAAAAACATTAGGAAAACAAGAACAGTGCAATAGAAGCTTTCCTGTCAACTTCTGCAGGCACACAGACACACTCAAGTTTTTAAGGCATCCAATAAGCATGTGATGACAGTATAAAGCAAAACTGACACAAAAATTAGGAGTGTACTATTAAAATATGGCAGTGACAACAATCAAATACCTTACTTATAATCTGGAAAGTGAATTTAAGGTGAGAAACTATAAAAAACCAAATTTCTAATGATAAAAGTGAAGCATGAGAAAAATCCTGCCACAGGAGGCCGTGAATTTTCCAGTTACTGCATATGCCTCCTGCTAGACCATTACAAACAGGCATGTGTACCAGGATGCCCTCTACAGTTAGTCACAATATGACTGAAATGTATCCATAAATCCAAGCAACATTCAATAAGTACATTAAGGTTCCAGGGAAAGCTGCCTGCCCAATTAAATTAACCCTTTTAATGATAACTGCAATACATGAAGTAAGCTCCAGATCACTTAGCAGCAACACTGAACACCTTAAAATTGAAGCCAGTGCTGAACAACGGAGATGACACCTTCAAGCTGACCTCTCAAAACCCACACATTTTGCTCCTACCTACAATCCCTGGGGTGACCAGTCCAAGAACCTGACATCGCTTTGGCAACAACTTTTCAAGTGCGAGAGCTGTTTCTTTACTGTTTCTTTTTCTGGCTGTTAAAATAAGAAGAAAAAAAAAAAAAAAAAAAAAACCAAAAAAAAAAAACCCAAAAAACCATCAGAGAGCAGTAAAAGTGCGTTCTGAGTAAATCCCACAGCCAACCCCGTCCTGTTTAACCAATGCTGCCCATCAGTGGCCGCCCTGGTAACAGCACGCTGGTCTGTGCTGCTCCCTGAGAGCACAGGGCTGCCGGCAGGCAAACACGCTCAGCGTCCTCCACAGAAGGGAAAGGAACCCATCTGTGCACGTTAACAAAGATCTGTGAGCTGCTCCCTACCTCAAATGCAATACTACACAGTCATGGTTTCTGCAAAACATTTCCTTTCCACTGAAACCAAACCACAGAGAATTCCCCCTCAGCTGACTGTGCTCTGCTTACATCCCAGCCTATCTTTAAATGGAAGTGAGTTAGGTGCAGGCTTTACCTTTCTTTTGCTCGTGACACTCCTCGTGCCCGCTGAAGGTCTCTGCATCAGCGATGTAGAGCACGGTCTGGGGCAGCACGTGCACCTTCTGCAAAGACACGGGTGGAGGAGTACATTAGACAGGGCAGAGTGGAGGGAAACTGGGGGCAGAAACGGAGGAGAAATTGCTCCTGCTCCACCGCCAGCCCTCGTCCATCCCCTCCGCCCTCACCAGGCTCCTGTCAGCCAGCACATAACCTCTCAATAGCCTCAGAAGTGCCCAGAGGAACTTCTGCCCACAGGCAGGAAGCTGACCCAAACCTCACAGAAGCGAGAACAGCTCAGCAGACTGGTCCATGACTCTACTCCTTCTTTTAGCACTGTCTAAACTCCTTGCATTCATGGTTGTTGGCATCTACTGTTCACCAGTGCTGATGCTGGGAAACAGTGTAGAGGCGTTTCTTGTCCCACTTGGTTTAACACTGATCTGCTGAGGCCTGTCTACTGCGGAAGACCCCGACATGAATCTTTTGTGTAGTGAAGGCCCAGCACCAGGTTAATACTGAAAAGAAATCCTGCCAGGCAGATTACTCCTGCAGTGTTTACTCAGTATCTCCCAGCCTAAGAGGGTTAACCTTTTAACAAGATTGCCGCGATGAACAGATGTGCCCTGAACTGCAAATCCTCGGCGTTTTGATCGGTGTATTAACACGCAACACTTGAACTGTCAAAACCACCTACGCCTCCGAACACGTCCCTTTTGCCGGGAGGTTGGAAGAAGCGCGTTCAGCGTTTAAACGAAGGCGCCGAGTTCTCGCCCCTCGCGCCCCCTCAGCCGCCCCTCACCTCGAGCTCGCGGGCCAGCGCTCGCACCAGCGCGTGGTTCTCGGCGGGGCCCGGCTCCAGCGCCGACACCCACGCGATTCGCTGCCGCGTCCGCAGCGTCCGCCGGGCACACTCCCTCCATAGCCGGCATACGCTGCAACACAACACGGACACACCGCGTCGGCCGCACCGCCCCCGCCAACCGGAGCCGGCCGCCGCCCACCCCACAGCCCCGGCCCTTACCAGGCCGCGCGCAGCAGCGCCTTGGTGGGCAGGAAGCCGAGGACACGCTCCACCACCTCGGCGAGGTTGGCGAGGACGTAGCTGCCCTTCGCCGCGGATTCCATGGCCCCGCCGCCTCCCCGGCCCCGCTGCCCTGCGTCACCCGCGCGCCTCCGCACCTGAGGCAACTTCCGGTCAGCGCGAGCGGGCACAAGCCCCGATAGTGGCGCCGCCTGGCGGCGGGGAGGACCCGTCCCGCTCTCACCTCCCCTCTTCCCGCGCGCCCCGGGCCCCAGCACGGACACAGCGCTTCGTAAAATGCTTTTTATTCATAAACTTGATGCAAGTTTACAAATTACTGTACATTGCCAAGGAACTCTGCCAGAAGAAATGGAACCCAAACCGAAGCGTGCGCCGCAGGGCGGAGGCCGGGGCCGCCGCAGCCCCGCCGTGCCCGGCCAGCGGCACAGCCCCGGCGCTCGGCCCGCGAACAGCGCGCACCGGGCACCGGGAGCGCCGCCAAAGCTCGCCCAGGTCGTTTCTTTCGAGCTAAAAACTGGATCTAGAAGCAAATGCACAAGGACCCGCGGGCGCCTGATAGAGAAAAGAGCACAAGTTCGATAGTCAACTAAAAAAAAACCCATAAAAACATGCTTCTGCACTTCTGAAAGTGCTTAATCCATGGAACACACCCTTCGCTCGGCCCCGAGGAGTGCACAGGCCTAAGGACTAGTACTACAACCAAAATAAGAGTCGATTCTGGTAAGGCAATGGAATTGTGTAAGTACACAGACCCAGACTCATCTCCTAATAAAGAAAGAACAGTTCCCATTAGTCTTTCAATAACAAAACCACCGTCATGACTATGGCAGCATTTCTTATGCCTCTGAATTGGATGACATTGTTTTTGTACTTTATTGTAGTTTTTATATAAAAATTTTTCATTCATGGACTTTCATCTCAATTTGTGCCAATCACTTTATAAGTTCATTAGTTTAGAAATGATTGCAACAGCCCGTTAATAAAATGGAACACCTAAAACGGTTTTTAGTATTTTAAATAACTTCAAGCTTCATACTGTGGCTCTTCTTGTTAAGGAGGTTGAGCCAACAAGTAGCAGGAACAGCCCAGCAAGTTCTGACGCCCCAGTGGAAGTGACTAGTTACAAGGTTTTATTGGCACAGCCTTGCTCTGCATAAAAACAAAAAACCAAAACAAAATAAAAAGGAAAAAACCAAACAAAAAAAATTAAAATAATCTAAACAAAGAGCATCTTTTCCAATAAACAGTTCATATTCTCATACAGCCATGAAAAATGTTTAATGACTTAACATACATGTGTTTTTCCTATATCAGTAATTTGGAAAATACTACAAACGCTGTCATTTTAGACCAGAAAAACTACTGTGATTTGCAAGAACTGACATTTCCTAAAACAGTATTAAACAATGTATTAAACTTCTTGGCTTTAAATGAAACAATACAATGCAAGTCTCTGCAGTCTGCATTTTGCAAAAAGTAAGAAATACACAGAAGTGTGTGAACAACTCACTCCTATTGTATGATCTTTAGTAAGTTGATAGCCTGCTGCAGGGAGAGTTTATGCTTTCAAATAAAAAAAGGGAGAAGGGAGGGCGTGGCCCAAATCTGCCTAATCCATAAGAACAAATATGGTAAAGGCCCAAACTGCTCAGTCCAGATGCCTAAGAAGAGCGGAATGGTAAGGCTGTAACTTATACTGTACGTGTCAGTTGACAGATTATCCACTAACTTATCTAATAGCTAAAGTCCTCAGTACAGCTGTTATAGGGGCACTCATAGCTTGAGTCTGTGTTGGAAAACATAAAAAAGAGCTTGTTTTGTTGACATTGGTCCAGGTATACAACAGTCCTCAGCATTAGCCATCTTCTTTTGGAGGAGTGTACCAGCCTGTGGAGAACAGAGACATGTTAGGTACCAACGCTGCTGTGTCCACACCATCCTACTCTTCACCTGGGAGATGGAACCTGGCTCAGTCCTTCCCTCTTGGGGCAGGCCACTTACTTAGAGCACACTTACTTAGTGCCCTAAATGTGAGTAAGTGAGCAGTGGGAGACAAACCATGTGGCACATTCCAGGATCTGCTCTGGTATTTGGGTGTGCACACACAGATTTGTGAACAGCAGCCATCCTGAGCTGGACAAGCTGAACACCAACAAGGGGAAGCTGCTGAAGGAGGAACATTGCTCTAACCAAACTTAACAGAAGAGAGGTAAAACCCCCAAGTCTTCAAGCTACTTAAAACATAGACATACAAACTGCACTGGGACACTTACATAAATCCCATTTTGTGTAGAGTTAGGCATGCATAAGCAACCAAACAGTTTATCCTACTTCTGCCAATCTTACTGTAGGAATAAGCTCAGAAATGGCCATTGAATAACTGGTCTCATGACATAATTTGGCAAGTTTAACAGCTGAATCATACCTGATCAGGTGTGCACTGCTTTTTCTAGTAACCTCCAGAGCTCCAATCTAAATTCTCCCAGCCCCTCTTGTAACATTTCCTTTAAATGTGTGTACAGTGACTACAAGGCCTATTTGTGCTGGCCCAGAGAGCACATAGCAGCTCTAAGCTTAAAACACCCTTCACAGCAGCACTGAGTACTGTGAATGCTTTGTGTTCAGCTCCTGAGGCAGCACTGATCACTTGTAGCACACACAAGTAAGCAGCCACGCTGGCTTTTGTAGCAAACAAAAAGAGCAAAAGGCTCAGTGAACAGCAAGATCAAAACACTGTAAAAGTGGAGATGATGTTCAAGTCATGATCTTTGATCTCCCTCCCAAGAGTACAGGTGTTCTGGCCCATGTTAGCAGCAGGGAAATTGAGGTGCTCACTGCAGTCACACAAACACTTTCACAATAACCTCCATTCCTGGAGGACACTGTGTCCAACCCAGAGCCCTGAACATCACAGAAGTGTAACTGCACTGACTCCCTCATCACAGGACCAGAGTACCAATTCTGCTGACTACCTTTATGTAACATGTAAGCTACTTAAACCTTCCAAAGCCTCAGGCTTCTCATACTGCCACAGTGAATTCAATTATACCTGAAGCACTTGTACACTTGTTTTATGCAGGAGAGAGACTTTAGAGTAAAAAAGCCCACACCGAAACAGGTATTTCCCTATTCTATTGTACACTTTCCCAGCTAGTACACTCACTTGGACTTGTATTTTTCAGTTTCAGGTCTTTTTCCCCACTTTCTCTCTTCATTAATATTTCCACATAGGTTCTTGACACATTGAAACAAAATCTTCCAGGGAAAGGGATAAACTCCCAGCAGATACTCTGCCAATATGAAGAGTCCCTAAAGCTACAGTAACAATGAGGTTCCTGGATCAACTGGATGAACATGAAATGCAGCTGCCTCTCAAAAGCAGCAGGAACACACACAACATTCAAGTAAACTGGAAAAGTTGCAATGATCTCAGTCAAGTTCTTTAAGCACTACTGTTTTTCTAGTGCAAGAAGAAAAGAAGGAAGAAACATTTATGGTCTTCCCAAGCCGAAATAAGACACTTTGTCCCTTCAGGTTTCTCTGTGGCAAACACCAATTCCCAGGGTGCTGTGCAGACAAGAACAAAGAGGCAAGCAAGAATATACATACCATTTTTCTCATGTATTTGTACTAGTGACTTATAGGACTGCTGTGCTCTTGCTAGATTATATTGATTCTGAAAGGAGAAAAAAACTCATATAAAAACCTGCATCTAGACATGCAAGACTCAAAACCAGTTCTAACAAGGAAATTCTACAGTGGGCTTAAAAATAAAGTCCATGCACAATGTTAGAACATTCCTGGCTTTCAAGATTACCTTCTTAGAGCCAGAAATTCCAAATCCTCCTAATTCTAATTGTCCTTCCCCCTCCCCTCCCTTGCCAATTCAAGGATAGCAAAAGCCCACCCTGCCCATCCCAAGGCTTTATCTATCTCACATGCTTGTAATTACATAAAAAATATTTAATTGCCAATAAAATACTTATAGAGTCCCCAGACAATTTGAAATGCATATATATATATTTGCAATTCTGTCACTAAGCACCTTCTAAGCAAGCCAGCAAGTAAATGGAAGGCCAGCAGTGATTTGTGTAGTTGAGAACCACAGCACCACAATTTACCTTATTGGCTCCAAACTGTACTCTGGCTTTTCCTTTGACTAAAGTGGCATTGATCTGCATGATGACTGATTCTATTGAGTAGGCACTGCTCCAGCCCTGGAGGAGGAAAGGAATGCTAACATACAACATGTACTCACTTCTTGTGCTCACCTTGCAAATCTGTTTTGGAACACATGCTTTGGGATTTTTTTTTCCTGCATTCCAGATTCAATTACTAATTTTCAGTTAACATTTATTTTCCAAAGAAAATCTGTAGAATTATATACGGTCCTAGTACTAAGAATTCTTAGAAGAATTAAAAGACTGAATTATATTTCCAAAATACAGCAAGACAGGAACAAAAAAATCTCCATCCTTACACCATTGACATATTTTCAGCAATATCACAACAGAAATTACAACTCCTTTTTTCAAGAAGTAGAAAAGACTGATCTCTAATTAAGTCAGTTCAGTAAGTTGTAGGAATTCTGCTCATCTCTGGCATTGCTTTACCTTCCAGAGCCTGTAAGTAAGTTACTTCATTAATTTACTTATTTTAAAGAGAAAATCACTGTCTGCACAAATCATCTATGACTACAATCATCTGTATTCCTCACTTCTCCAGAGCTGACTTTATGCAGTTGAAGAGGCTTCTAGAAAAGAAAACAACTTGTCTTGCTCCCCAGAGCTCGCTCCCCACGCTGCCTTCCTCACAGAGATCTGGGAGCTCCAAGCTGACCTGCTCACACTGCCTCCTCTTCCTCACATCTCCTGTAAGCCAGCCAAGGCAGAAAAGATCCCAAACAAGATCAGCCAGGCAAATCTTGTGGGACTGAGGTTTAATTCCACTATGTTTCCTTTGGAATGTGTAATTTATTCCACACAGGGATTCTTCAACTCAAGAGAGGCACCTATTTTCATTATTTTCAGGCATGTTTTATTATCCAGATAACAGAGCTCATATTCACCTGTTTAGTAAGAAGTTCCATGCATAATGCACCTCCACCTAGGACATACCTAGAAACAAATGTGAAAGAAAATATACTTGCCATCAGCAGTTAGTAAAAAGGTACAAGTGCTCACAGCACTTTAAGCTCTTGCCAGCTTGTTTGTTCAATTCTTTGTTCATAAAGCTGAAATGCCCTTTAACCAGTAATATATTGTAACTAGTTAGCCATGTCATACCTGGGCAAAGAAAATTAGCATAGTGAGACAAAAAAAGCTGTTTGCTAACTAGACTTAGTTTAAACCACTGACTGAGCTACTCTGCATAACTGCAGAGACCATGGAAAAAGGGAAGTTCCTTTTTATGGCTACTCTACATATACATGGTACAGATGTGTAGCTAAAAGAAAACAACATTCAATTGTGTAAAGAAGTTAACACCATTTCAAACAATGCAGGTGCACTTATAAATAACATGAGACAACCAGATCTTTTCTTGCTCTTTCTATGTAAATACCTTTTTTAAATTTCAAAAATACTTTATCTATTGTGCTTACTGGGACTCAGCAGAAAACCTGAGCAGGACAAAAGCTGGACTGAGGGAAGAGAATTTACCACTGCCAAAATGTATTCTCCTCTATGATCAAGACATTCTCCTCTATGATCAGAGATCCATATGACATTCAGAGGGAAATGACCACTGAAAAGCCATCCTTTTTTCATTCTAAAAAGAAGTCTGACTACAATCAAATTAGAATCCAATGAATTTTCTGGTGTTTGGGTCTGCCTGTTTAATTTTGAGATAGCAGCCCCCCTCAGGAACCCTATTTAACTGCACTAACCATTTACTGAATTAAAGAAGAATACACAACAATTCAAATCACATAAGAACCAGCACCAGCTATCACAGACTGCATTTTCAAAAACAAGTATCATTTCCTGTCACCAGGAGATGCATGAAAGCCTTGGCAGGTGAATTTAATTGTCTCTCCAATGGATATATACAAGTCCAACAGACAGCACTTCAAACATGCTTTAGATGACATTTGGAGCATGTTTTCAATGAAATTTTGTGGGTTTGGATTAGCATTTGAGGGATTTTTAAACAAAAACTTTATGGCAGTGCTACCAGCAAGAGAGAGACAGGTAAGACTTTACAGCAAACTTAAGGCAACCCAGGGATCAAGACCCATTCAAAGCACCAACCCAAAGCATCCTACAAGAGGAGAAGGAAGAGCAACGTTAACCCCCCCCAGAGGTCAGTTCTTACACATATGGCAGGCACAGAGTTTTTCAGGTTGTAACATTTTTGCCACAAAGCACAATTTCTGCAGGGCAGCTCAAACCTACCCTCCCGTGAGCACAGGAGACACCACTCGCACAAAGGGAGGATCAAAAGGGAAGTTATCCTGGGAAGAAAAATAAAAAAACAGGTTAAGGAAAATACTGTGACATTGCTTCCCAAACAGAAAGTATTTCAATAGCCTTATTTGTCAAATCAGATCTGAAGTACTACAATTTTTCAGTTGTGTAAAAATTCACTTTCCATAGTATTGGTTAAAAAGCTTTTTTTTTGGGAAGCTTCAGAGATTAACTTAAAAGTTAGTTTTCTTTTCCCACCCTTTTTTTTAGACCACAGATCCATTATTACCCAAGTAACAGCTGAAAGTCATTTCAGTAATTTTCTATAGTAAGCCTCAAATTTAACTGCAGCTTTTTGTCCTACAGACACTTACCTTAAAAGAGAAGTTGAGTAAAATGTATTCTACACCTTCTTTTTCTTTTAAGACCTGAAGATCACTATGCAGTGGGCTATCAGGATCAACCCTGTAAAAGCAGCAGGGGGGAGACCATGGATCAAGTTAATATTTTCAATACCTGTAAAACAGTAGTTCCTCTTAAATACTTTCTTTATGTAATTGTAGTTTAGAAATTGCAGTTCAGGGTGAAATGTAGGAAATTATTGCCCCTTTTACCAAGTAAAAACTTTGCCACAAGATCAGCATAAAAGCTTGCTACAACATTCCCAAGGCTATCAAGTGTTGCTTAAACATAGCACAAAATAAGCTGTTTATTTGAAAAGAGCAATTTTAATTCTCTTCAGTTCAGTTGTGTTCAAATAAGAGGGGAGAAAAACAGGAAGACTGTAGTCATTTAGTTTTCAGCACATAGTTAGTGAATCCTTTATGGAATATGTAATTGTAATCCTGCATCAGCTGTTAAAAGTAATCTGCATCAGCAGAAGTACTAAAGCCAGCAGCTTCTGCTCAGCAGAATTTCAGCAACTGTTTGTTCCAAAATGCTGGTGGTTAGCAGCCTGGCCATTAATGCAGACCCTACTGGGTTAATCTGACACCTCATCTGCTTTTAAATAGAAGAGACTAGTCAAAAACACCTGCAGCAAGCCAAAGCAGATGTTAAAGGGACTGAAAGGCCCTTAAACCTAATCCCCTACTACAGCTGAAACTACAAAGTTGTAAGATCTCATTTCAGAACTTCTTGGGCAGGTGGTCCCCATCCTACCAGTGTGAAGTTATTTCAGAAGAAAATCTTCCAGTGCTTAGGAACCTCTCATTTCAAGCCATGGCTTTTGCTGTGCCAGTTCAAAGGGATTTGTTCTAAGTAACAATACTGTTCCTTCCCCACATGGGCTCTTTCCTCTGCACATCTACCCCTCAGCTACCCTGCACATAGTGCATTTGTTTCCAGACACTTTTTGCTGCAATAAACAAACACAACAATTCTTTTCTTAGGCATTCTGGAAGGCATTTGCTGCATGTACTCCATTTCCTCTTTTCTGAAGGCAGAAAATGAGACCTGTTCACATCACTTGAACAGAGATTTCAAATCACTGCACATGGTTTGAGCACTTGGTTACAGACACACTCAATAGGAAAGGCCTCCAATAACGTGACACAGATTTCTCTGATGTGTCATTCCTGCCATTTTCAGCCTCAAAACCTCCACATGCCCATGATTACACTAAGAAGGAAACAAAACTATTTCAGCAGCTGGTGACCCAGGTTGCGCAAGGCAACAATTCCTACACGCAGGTCAACTACTGTGCTGAAAAAACAGCCTCTGTCCTTCTCCCCCAGGACACCTCTGAACCCATGGAAGCTCTTCCAGCCACTGCCAGCTGCTGCAGCCACCCAGCACAGCCTGGGTAGGCTCCTCCTTCCTTTAGGGCACTGTATAGGGATGCCAGCAGATGATCCTGTTACCAGGAATAATTCCACTCTAACACCTCTAGGATTAAAGTTACAGGACTATGGATGTAAGAAGGTGAGTTATGTACTGCTTTTCACTTGGTATACTAGGCAATGACAGGAGACAAGGTACACAGAATTATATAATTCACATTTTTGTGATAGCTACAAGTTTCAGTCCTGTGTGTCTGTTTAACTGAACAGAAATAAACAACTAATAGAAATAAACAACTAATGACACTCAGTTATGTTCTTTCCTACATCTTAAGTGCAACTAGAAGCTGGATTTCCCTGTCATTCAAAACAAAAATAAAATCAATGCAAAAATTCTTGAAAAGAATTTTCATCATTTAAGGCTGCATATTTTGGAGCAGATTTAGAATTGAATAGTAATGACACTTAATGCAATACACATAGCACTGGCAGAGAAAAGCAGGTCTGTCTTTTTGCCAGCTCAATCACTACTGGTCTATCTCTAGATGTTTCTATGTATCAGAATTACAGCCACTACTTAGTGGCTACAATTACTCTTACTGTACTACTACAGTAATGGTGATCATATGCTATGGCATATAATGTAATGGTGATTTATATACTATGGCTAGAGATACTCAATTATCAAAAGAATCTCTCCAGCAATACTAAAACAAGATTGTACAGAACACGTAAAAACTTTATTAACTTACTTGAGAAGCTTAACATGCCATTCATACAAGCTGTCATTTACCAGTTCCACTGAATATATCCCTGTAGAAATATTAGATGGAATTAATTATGCACTAAAAGTGTAGATAGCAAACTTAGCAAAATCATTCTTTGCTTTAAATTTGAATACTGTCAGCAGGTATAAGCAATGGGCAGGATACTGAGGCACATCCTTCCTCCAGTAGCAGATGCACTTCTGAGGAGCTACAAGGAAAAAGTATTTTCATTTCTATTAAAAAATTCCACATTAATCAATTGTTTTTCTGATACTTAACCATTTCACCTTCAAACCTTCCACAACAACAACTCCAGCTTGCTTATTACTCACTGTATTTTACACCCAGTACACCACCAATGTGTTTTTAGACATTTCACAACACAGTGTGAGTGTGCAGCAGTGTTTCCCAGGTTCCCATCAGTACAGACAGACCAGGACAGCACACAGGGCAGTGTATGCAGTAGAAACCCAACAAAAAGGAGATACAGCAGTGGATGAAGCACATTCCCAACATGACTGAGGAAGCCAGAAAGATGCATCTAAAGAATGGAGTGGTCTGTGGGAGCCAGCTGGTGACTTTCAGTGGCCTGGTTGTTTTAAGCATGTTAAACAACAGTTGTGCAGTTCATTTCCCAGGGAAGGATGGAAATTATCTGCCATTTTCTTGTACATTCAAAGCTTCCTCTCTGCATAAATTCACAAGCAGCTCTGGAAAAAGCAATAAATCTTTAACCACCCAGCAAGATTTAGAGCATGGTATCAGTCATGTACAGAAATTAAACTTCCTCTTTCACAGAATATTCATGCATATAGACTAATCCACTATTATTAAACTTGTTACTTGGCCTAATATTTAACAGCATCCTTGTTGCTGACCTAATTATTTGGAAGCCATATACAAATCAGGAATTTGCCTAGAATTTCTGAAGGCAATACAACCACCAGATTGCAGTCACCACATTCTTCCCAAGGAATGGGGGATAATAATTTCTGAGTTTTATTATTCTAGCATAAAAATAATCTTACAGTTGAAGCTTATAAGCATTAGTACTTGGAGTACACGTGACATTTCAAGCTGTGCAGACACCGTAATTTCTACAGCATTTCAAAACTTGGCACACAGGTTAAAGCACCCATGCTTGGTTCTCCTTTCTGAGTGCCACTAACAAGTGGGTACTGCAGCCAAGAGCACAATTTCTGATTTTTCTATGTCTAGAATAAAAATGCAGGCCTGAACACATGCTCACTGTGCTATCCATGTCCCTTTTAATCAGTAGCTACTTCAGGGACACAGCATCTCTGTTTGAGGAGCAACCAAAGGAGCTATTAAGGCCTTTTTCCAATTCCCCAGATCCAAGGACACTATTTTCTGAACTGACCTTAGTGTAAGTCACAAACTGTAAGAATTTCAATTTGTACTGCTCTGATGTAATAACAAAAGAGTTGACATTCAGAACTCTGCTCACTGTCAACTCCCATTAATGACAAATCTATTGCACTATTGCATCCACAGTATTTTCCTCCACCTGCATCCAAGTGGGAGCAAACAATACTTATTACAGAGAAGGCAGTAAGTTACAGTAAGGCTCCTGACACTGTGCTAAACAATGAAGGATCACAAGAGACCTTCTGTGGGAACCCAGGGCACCCCTCTGGCTGTCCTGAGCAGCCAAGACCCCTGCCAGGGGGCACAGAGACCCTGGCACACAGCCCAAAACACCTGTGGGTTTGATTATGACCCATGGAGCAAGTCCCCAACCTTAGATGAAGATCTGCAAGCCACAACAGCTTAGGTAGAATAATAGTGAAGTTATCATGGGGTGGAAAAGTAGATTTTGGGGTTTTTGGTATGGAGGTTCAGGAGGCAAGATGGAGGGAACTGGGTGTGCCCAGCCTTTCTGCTTCTTCTTCTTGGCCTCCATCTTCTGCTGTGATGTTGGCACTTTTGGATTGGTTTAGAGTAGAAGCTCACTGTCTAACATAGGTGATGGGTATTGGAAAATAATTGCAAACATTGTACACGTAGTTTTTAGTATAAAGACATAACACCACCCTGGGGGCAGGCAGAGTGCCTCTGTCTGTCCTGCTGAGCTGACCTCAGCAGGGCAGGAGAAAGAGTTTTATAGATAAGAAACAATAAACACCCTTGAGACTGAGAAATGAAGAGCCCTGACTCCTTCTTCAACTGCCAAGCTGGGCAAAGAGACTTTCTAAGGTATCTCAGGGTCACTGTGAGCAGCTGGAGACCCTGACAACCTTCCAGCCCTTTGTCCACTCACTAAGCCTTCAGCCCCACTCCTGCCCTCCTCCCATCATCCTGAGCCTCCTGTTCTCAGCCACAGCTCCTGTCCCACTCCAGCTCCAAGGCCCAGACACTTCCCCAGCAGGAAGAGCTGTACCCCCAAGGGCTGTACTGCACCTAAGGCAGAAGCTGCAGGAGGGTTCTCAGAACACCAGTGCAAGACACTCCTGCAGCCTCAGGCAGCCACGTTCTGAGCCAAACAGCACCTGTGTCTCCTCAGGAGCAGCAGCAAGGGGACCCCAGGGCATGATACAGAAGCTACTTAACACCATCCAAAGCTGAGGGAGGGTGTTTGGGGTTTTCTGAATAATCAAGGGGATGTTACTTGGAAGGAATTTATGTGGGTTTTTTGTAATTTTGACAGTGAGAGAAAAAAGGTTCCTGTCAAAAATAATTTAAATTAATTAAAATAATTTATTTATTATTATTCTTATTCTTATTCTTCTTCTTATTATTATTTTAAATATTTTAATAATTTAACTTACTAACAGCAGTTTTAAAATAAGGACAAGTCCTTAATTTAGGAAAGGAATCAAGGTAGGTTCCTCTTGCTTAAATACAAGGTGGGGTGGGGTTTTTATTACTCAAAGGTGATCAAGTAGAAAGAAACCCACAGAACCGTGAAGCAAGCAAAAAAGTAAGAAATTAAAATGTAGAAAGAAAAACAATTCTTTTCAAAACAGAGGCAACATCTTACTTAGGGCACCATTACTATCGTAAAAAGTAAATCCCACAGAGTCTTTGGATAAAACCAGGGAATTGAAGTCCATATGAACTGTATCTGAATAAAACAGATGCTAAAGATATGAACAGAAAAGATTTCATTTAATGTCCCCAAATTCCTTGTTTCCTGCCCTCCTTTCCCAATCCCTTAAATTACATCAAGTCGTTTGTGCATCTCCAATCTGATATGTGGAAATGAGATAATCTTGTTTTACAGGACTTACGGCTCCCATTATCTGAACACACTAATGAAACTAATTCACAACAGAGTATCTTAATTTTCTGGAGTATTTTTTGCTTCTGTCAGCTCATAAGAAAATTATTTTCTGTTTCTTTAAGGGCAATTCTTCCCCTAGATTTCCCAGGTAGATAAGCAACTTGGCTGTTGAGGGCAAGTTTGTAATCTTTTGCTTGAACTCCACTGCTTCATTTGATAAAGGAAATTAATTTCTAAAATAGATACCACCTTGAATGCACAGCTAGAGTTGAAGCCACTGTCTTTTAATAGTACTTTTTTATAAAATAGTCCAAGAGAAAAGAAAAAAAATTAAATTACCATTGCTACAAGTATTATTCACTTCAGAACTCCCAGTGTTCTACAGTCAGTCCTAAAAACATGTAACCTCATGAAAACTAAATAAAGTGATCCTTACCTACCAAAAAATCAGCCTTAGCCTTTCTGGCTTGTCTTACAAAGAAATGAAAACAGCATTAAATTACCTTGCAACAGTTGCAAGAACCTGGGAGTTTCACAATGGTTCCCTTTGTGCATTAGTAGGAAGAAATTAAATTTAGGGTAAAATGGACCATGGGGCGAGTACTCTAACAAAAATGACATTAAAAAAGCCAATTACCTGCCACAGCCTGTGCACGTGGTGACAGTTGCCTAACAAAAGGCAGAACTAGGCTATGAAAGCAGGAGTTTTGTGCAAAATAAAGAACCTAGAACATCAATTGACTCAAGGTCGAAGAATAAATGAAACCATAAGGAATTAATCCAGGCAGGTTTTATAACAAACAGCATCAATTTACTGGCACAATGTAATAAATGTGTCAGTAGGACGGTGTTTCAAAGCAGAATTGCCATCACCTTTGTAGTGTCAACCTCCACTTGACACTACTTCATTACCATGTTTTAGAGATCAACATGAGGCATCCAGCTGCAGTGTTTTTACATATTTCCAAAGTCATAAACTCTAAGTTACTGCCCCCACCCTTTAGAACCTCATCCTTCTGTAGAGTTTAGCAAGATTTGCTCTTGCTCATAATTCAGAGTACGCTTTCCTACACCAAGATCAGTCTTTTGCAACTCATTAAGTCTTGTTTATCTAAAGCCAAGAAATGGCATTATTATTAGAGAGTCTAAGCCCTCCCCTCAAACCACAGCTAGCCAGGGGCCCCTGGCTGACCCCAGTGGTGCCACCACATGACTGAGCACCCCACAGCACTCTTCACAGTCTGGTTTGTTAGAGCCAGCCTTAGCTCTGACCACCAAAACAAACCCTGAAGGTCAAAACTGGGCAGTCAAGCATCCCCCATGCCTTCACACAGACCTGCTTCCAGCTCCTCCCTAGACCCACTAATCCATTCCTTCCCAGACAGGGGTCATTGGGGCACACTGGCAAGCACCCAGTTGTAACAAAGCTAAAAGAAGGAGGCTGCATTGGATCAACACTAGGTCACCTCATCAAATTTATACCCCAGACATTTTACCACTGTCCCCAGCATTTCCACACATGAAACAATTGACCTAAAAGTTAAATATGACAAGTCAAAACAGGAACCTATTGTCTCTTCACCTCTGTTCTTTTACACATGATTAAAATGGCATCATCAAGTGAGGTATAATTAGAAATAAATATGGACACAAGTCCAGAAAAATGAGAATGTATTTAAGTTTATACTGACTCCCTAAATAGGCATTCCTCCTGTTCTCACGCTGGCCTGCACCAGGGTCTGACACCTGGCTACAGTGATGGATTTTTCTATTTGGCAGACTTGGAGGAATACAACTTGCCCAAAATCCATGTAATTTCTATTTCTCATACAGTAACACTCAGGCAATTCAATTTGCTGAATCCTTTGCTGAGCTTATTCCTATAAGGAATAAATGCAACAGCCATCCACTACCTCAAGATAATCACTGCTCATTACTCAAACTAATTTAAAATACAAGCTTGTTTACCACTGTAATTCACATCATTATTGCAAGGAATATATGTTCTGACTTTTCTCCACAAATAAACTACTTTATGTACTAAGAGTATACATAATGTATCTATGTATTTTTACATATGTGCACACATAAACATGCACTTATATACAAACACAGGACAACAAAACACAGAGAAGTTAACAGCAAGTATTTCCCAAGAGAATTCATTTAAAGTATATTTTAAAGAGGGAAATCTGAGGCATTTACCTGTTTTATAACTCTGTGATCTATATATATCCCTGAGTTCTTTCATAAGTCGATCTGAAGCCTGAACTGACCCAGAGACTGCACCCTGAAATAAACAAAAAAGACTCCAAATAAGTGAAAAGTAGTATTTACAAACAACTTTACATTACTAACTAGAAGGTATTAACAATATATTAATTTCTGTAGGAGAATTGGGTTTCTGAAAAGTTAAATATTCTGGTGAACAAAGTCTACTCCAAAGAAACAAGGCCCTCCATCTAAAGAACATTAATATATACTACTAAATGCTATAGGTGATACAAACTTTTAATCAAGGTACAACAGGCATTTTTCTGTAAAGGAGCTAAATCTCTGGCAATTTAATTTCCAAGATGGATGCACAGTACATCTCAGAGTGAAATATTTAATTTTACATCCTGCTTTTACACACTGAGAAGAAAAGTAAGCCTAATCCTAAGACTGAGCTTCTACACATAAGGTATTATTGCTTTCTCAGAGGTACATTTTTATTTGGTCATTGAAAAAGGTCCAGGAGTTGGTAAGTATCCACTCTAGAACAGCAGCTTCCTGAGGAATAAGACCAAGCAGTGAATTTAGAAAACGTGGAACAAAAGCAATATTTATTGCAATTGAGTGAAAAAAAATCAACATCTACACAGAGGAAGACAAAGGTATGTAAACCTTAAAATACAAAATATTTCTTGTGACTTGTCATAGTTCTTGTGATTTATACAACTATGGCAAAATCTCTTCTGTTCTTTTAGAGTTCAGCTCTGTACTTCTCAGCACCTCAAAGTGAGAGAAACTCAAACCAATTTTCCTGTGTTATGTGATTACTCTGCTTATATATCCCACCCAAAATACCACTTCAGGTTCAAGAGTTTTGAAAAACAGAGAGATAAAAGTTAGCATTCTAAGATTTAAAACACAGAATAGGAACAAGGACTCCAAATGAGCTAAGGTAGTTACCACCCCAAACCCTGACCCTGTGGCACTTGGGCTTTCACCATCAGTCTGTTTCCCAAAGGCAGATTATTCCATTATTATTCCATTGGACCTTTGCAGTTCCCTTCTGCTCCTGTTCTTCAGTCACTGCCACTGAAATACAGGCTAACATAGGGAGCTCATAAGCATGGCTGGGGGGAGAAACCAGGACAAAAAATAAACCTGCCCCACTACCAAATAAAAAAGACCCACCTAGGATAATTCAGCCTGTCTCTATCAAGTACTAAATAAGTAAGTTGATGAGGCTGCTTTTTTACTCCATCTAAAAATTCAAAGATTCTTATTTTTTCAGTTTCCTTCCAGACACTATGAACACCTAGAAACATATCGTTTTGGACACAAGTGTCAGAAAACTATTTCTGGAAGAACATGAAGCAGCTGTGACCATTACCTAATACCCAAAACATCCTCCCTGTTTGCCTGAAGTCCACAGTGATGTTTTATACTCTACAAGGTCTTAACTGTAAAACCAAATTATTTCTTAATAAAAATTAAGTATCAGTAGCAGTTACTTGATGGTAAAGCCTCCATATAGTCCTGTCTTCTCTGTCCAATAGTATCAAATAATACACTTAGCTTCACACTAGAATCCGTAGACTTTTCTTTCAAGGCTATTCATTTTCATACACCTTTGGATTTAATTATGCAGATTTCTGAAATTCCACTAGTTTTTCCTAACAGACCGGTATGAAGGATGAACCTTGTTATTAAACATGCAAATAACAGGCAACTCCTTTCATCTGATAAAACAAAAGCTAGATACAAACAAGGCTTCAGACTAGTTAATTTCTCTGCTTACTCTGCTCCTCTCTATGGAGCAGTATCAGACAAAGAAGGGATTTCTCAAACATCAAGTACATGAAATTTCATGGAAAAATGTTGTTTATATGCAATATCTGCATATTACTACTAGTTACAGATTAGCTGAAAAGGAAGCATTACACTTAACCAGTTAACACAGCAGTGTTAATCACCATTCTTTGTATAGTTGCTGTGCTTTGTGAGCATTAAGATTAGGACTCATCAATATGTTGAGTCTGGAGGAAAGACATTTCATAGACAAGTGTCAAGACTTTGGTTTTCTTCTGAGCACAGCTGTGCAGATTCTTGCCCCTTCCACTGTACTTCTTACTAAAAGAAGGAATTTTCATACACTTTCCACAGATTGTCAACCTATAAATATAGGCAATTTAAGAACAAGTTAGATGGTCAAAGATATCCTGTGGAAAACTACCTCTCTCTTTGCATCTCTATTTCCATCCAATTAAACTACTGAATTTCTATATATATAATGTTGGAAGTTCATCTTGGCAAATAAAAATTTAAGTATCTTCTGTACCAGAGACATTTAAAAACCAAAGCTTAACACACCCACATCCCCCTGACTTCCATTAGAACAGCTGATAAATGAGGTGGTATTAAAGGAGTTGGCTGTAGTGTGTGTAAGCAAGCCTCAGCACACTCTGTCTTTGTCTTCACCCTTTTTCCCCCAAGGGTTTCTGGTTGGGCTGCTCACCCCTTATATAGCAGCAGTAAATGTAGTTACACTTGCTGCTCTAAAGAATCCATGGACTGTAAACCAGTAATCTATAATCAGGAGAAAGAGGATAGCAAGCTTAACTTAAGGAGTTTAGCACAGGGGCTTATTTTATGTGTTCTGAACTATCCTTGGAGGAACTTGAAGAGGAAGGTAACAGCTAAACCTGATGGGAATGGGAAGCCTAATGGCAAACACCAGTGCTCTGAAGCATGTCTTCATTCTGGTGTCACTTGTGGGTTTTGGAGCCACTGTAAAGTGCAGTTTAGAAGAGAGCACGACTTGCATCCCACCACTGCACCACACAGAGCATCGAGGTCAGTTTTGACTACAGTGATACTAAAATTAAAAACTTTTTCCATAACTCAGTACACGTAAGTTATAATTTCAAAGACAGAACCCAGATATAAATAACATTATCCTTCTGGAAAAGTGGGACTTGACACTCCAAGGGAGATAAAGTTCCCATTTCTCAAATTGTGACAGTAAGATTTATAGTTGCAACTGCCTCAGACATAAGTGGTCAATCATGGGATCTGATGGGTATCTGTCACATGGGGCTGATGCCAAGAGCAGGAAGGCAAAGCCATTTTATCTGAAGTAGTTAAATGAGCTGCAGGACCAGACCCGAGTGATTTTTTTTCCCAATAAGTAATCAAATAGGCACAAAAAGTCTCACTTAACCATCCCATCCTGTGCTATGTTGTGGCTCTCCAGAACAATGAGCAGGTAAGCTGGAGAAATCCCTGCTGCAAGAGGCACACATCTATGCTGACAACATGCCAGCTGCTGAGAGCTGCACATAACAGAAATGCCTGATGCAGGAATTCTCACAGCCAAAACTGCTGGACATGAAAAACATTCATGAGATGCACCACTACAAGCCTGTCCTGCTCTCAAACTCTTCCCCCCAAGGATGAGCCACTGTTGGAAACAGGAGCCTCGTGGTGCAGTCACACCAGCACTTGCCATTGCCTGCTGTACTAAGGCCACAGAGACATCAGGGGCTCCTTTTCCCCTTCCAACCCTCAAAATGCACCCACAGCCTGCTCTGCCCCTAAAGTTACAGGGGATAGGAGGTGCAGCTCGCTGCAGTTTTTTATCCAATGATCTGAGTGTTTTCTGTCTGATCAGAAAAATACTGTGAACACATCAGAACGCTACAGGAAACCTCTTCACTCAATAAATTTCAGAAGACTTAGCCACAAGACCAAAAATCACCTGCTGAAACAAAATAGGAAAACTTCTCCGAGATAATAAACTGAAATCTAAAGTAACTCAAAAAGAGCTAAAGAACATAAGTTCCATTTGTTACTGAACTTTCTCCATATTTGTGCAGAAGCACAATCATTCCTAGAAGTTAAAGTAGTTTCATACTTCTTTCAAGGATTAGACTAAAAATAGAAATGACACCTCAGATTTCATAAAATCTAAAGATGAAAGTACAGACATTGGAGACTTCTAAAGGGAAGTGCTTAAACTCCTCAGCATGAAACAGGAAAAGCTAATAGCATTATCTAAATAAGAAAGGCATTAGTCTCTGAAATGACTATGTGGGGAGAGACCTCTGAAAAGCAAGCAGCAGCAAGTTGTTAAATATTTGAAGTTAATGATTCCAGTTCAAAGACCTATTTAACTACAGGTAAGCAAGTGGTTCTTTAAAGTTACTACAATGTTAAGAGGAGGATTAATTCTTGCTCCAAGTTACATACTATACCAAAAGCCAAGTTTATTTCCTGATGCCAGCAAGAAGAATAGGATTAAGGATACTGCCAAAGACAGAACTCATTTACAAAATTAGTAAATACACATTCTTAACTTGTACAACACATAAACACTAAAGACTCCTATGACAACATCTTGAGAAGCAGAAAAATGTCTTTAACCTATGAGGAATAAATGACAATGGGAGTGCATGCACTGCTTTGCCATGAACAAGCCTTGAGCATGATCTGTAACTCCAGCCTGCACTGCAGCCAAGGGAGAGAGGACAGCCCATGGACCTGGGCCAAAGAACATGGAAAGGAAATGAAAAGTCTTCTGGCTGCACTGGGCACCAGTCAAAGCCCTGGTTTATGCTGCACATTCCCTTTTCCAACAAGCAGCATGTAAATGGCATGGGTTTGTTTTACTGGCCTCTGCTGAGGAAACAAAGCATCCCAAAGGGCTAAAAAACCACACTAGTTTAGCCACTGCATTTAGGTTTGTCAAACTCATAGTGTCCTCTAAGAAACCCAGTTGTGGGGGCTGAACAGATTTAAATTTTGCTTTGTGTTAGGACACTCAGCAAACAACTGCTCATTCTATCAGAAGCCCCCTGTTTTGGCAGCATGGAGGACCAATAAAGTGCTGATGGGATAGCTCTTTCCTAGGTCAGTAGCACAGCTACAGCTTTTGGTTCTCCAGCACCTAGGAGTAAACTTCCACAAGTCCTTGGAGAAATTATTTCAGCAGCACAGCTATTTCTGGTGACCCACAAAAATACCACAGTTCCTCAGCAGCAGTTGAATACCCTGTTCCCTGCACTCAGCTGACCTTGTTTATGCACCAGCATCAACAAGAGTGTCCTGGCATGAGAAACAGCTATTATGTAAGTTGAATCTGCTGTTGTCAAACAGAAAACCAGCAGTGTTCATTGCAGCTCCACTAAATGTGGAGGGAAAAAGCAAAAGGAAAGGCAGTATTGGCCAAATAGGAAAAGAATAGATAGCAAAAGAAAATCTGCCAGTTTTTTAAGAGGCTTTCTGCACCAAGGAAGAATGCTGACACCACAAAAAACTTTTTTCTGTTCTACCACATTTTAGATGATTGTAAAGCAGCCCATGCCTTTCAGGCTGCAAGAGGTTATATTTTCTTGAACAATTAAAGACTCCTTAGTATTAGGAGTTTGAGTTATACACACAGAAACACACAAAATCTCACTAGGCATCGTCTCAAACTGTGAACATTCAAGTTTAAACAAAACCAGTAAGTGACTGTTGTGCTTATGGTTACTCAAGACTCAAAACAGGACTTGACTATACAGCCAAAGCAGTTTGGGACCTTCTGATTAGCTGCTTTTAAACCCTGAAATGCCAATCAGGTTTAGGTGTTAAAATTTTAAAATCCTGTGGATGAAGCAGATCACAAACAGAAGTATTAAATTTCATGTTTTATACTTTTTAAGCCTCTATGGAACAAAAGCTTTGATTTCTTTGGGAGTCAGGGTAAATAAAATTAAGGTTGTATGACATCATCACACCCTCCTACACGCACCTCTGAGAAGTAGAAGCCTCTCTGGAGCCTGGCACTCGGGACAGAACGTTTCTAAGCCTCTGGAGAACAAGCACCTTTTCTACAACTGCCTGCTGGTAAGATCACTCAGAAAACTGACAACAAAGCTGCAGAGCTGCTGAAGGCCCTTGCCTTTATGCATGGCAATAAAAAAACTGCACAGCAATCCACCACCCTTCAGTAACTTCCAGGTGGCACAGCTATTACTGAAAAATAAACTCATGCATAACATTGATTTAAAGCACAGGTTTGCCAAGTATTTTAAGTCACCCATGACTTTTAACACAGGCAATTTTTATTATGGCTTTAGTTTTTTACTTAAATAAGGGTTCAGCAACAAAAGTCAAGCTCAAAGCCTGGAGGCATTCTGCTGATTCTGCAAGGAGAACTAATGCTTGTAACAAAGGCACCAAGCAAGAAATAGAGGGATAACCCATGGATACCTCTGGAGATGAGCAGGTAAACAGTCAGCTACAGGTTAATTTATGTCTAGGTGTATAGGAGTGGGCTTTCTTTGCAAAAAACCATCTCTGTTTCAAATCAGAAGTATTGCAAAGAAGAAGCATGGAATCATTAACTCACATTTAAGTGATCTTGCCTTTGATTTTTTCTGATTTTTTCTAAGATTGCAAGGTTCTCTTTTTCAATGCCTTCATCCTCAGATTTCTTCCCATCAACTGGTTCCTCCTCCTTCATATCATAGTGATCCAGATCTTCAATGTCCTATGAAAGAGAGAGAGAAGTTAACTGTAAATAACTGTCCTGTGCTCTTCATTCAATGAAACCCTCTCCAAAGGCATGTGGGATAAAGTCACATACTGCACAGCACTACAGATTTGTGATTGTTGGATGCCATTTCTATTTTGTTCTAACTTCACCCTCAGCCAACATAACCACTGGAAATAAAGGGAACCTTCATAATAGAAATGAAACCCAAATTCACAACACATTTCTGGTCACAGAAACAAGTACTGCCTCTGCAAGAAGATAAGCCTGTAGAGAATTAGCCACTGAAGTGGGCAGCAAACTGGACTAGAGAATCCAAAAGTACCCCAAGGTAGGGTGGCTCCAAGATGTTTCTAAAAGGCCCTTTTGCAATTAGAATCCCTGCTATATTGCACTTCTCACAAGCTGTGATTAACCTGTCTGGCAGGGCTACAACAACCCTTCAAGAAAGTTAAATATTAGAAAACTATGTGTACTTCATTCAAGGCTAACATTTCAGCTAGAGATTAGATACAGTAATTTTGGAATCAGGACATAAGACAAAATTCTGTGGTCAAGCATTCTGATCACCCAAGCCAACACCTCAGTTCTATGTTCTAGACCAAGGCACTAAAACCCCTCCACTCTGTATCCTGAGATGGGCTTATCTTTGTGCCAGAGAAGCATTCTGAGCTTCAGACAATTGCCTGAAGGTGACTCAAATGCTGCCTGTGGAGAGGAGGGGAAGATGTAAATACCTTGACACGAGAAGGGAAGCACTGCAGCAGCCACACCAGCAGATTCTGGTCACACAACTACCAGATACACTCCAGTATGCAGAGCTCTGGCACACCTGGGGCTGCTCTCCATGCACAATCAGTTTGCATGGCAGAAAAACCCACATCCAAAGATGTCCTATGTAACAAGAAATGCACCTGGTGCATCTGATAACTCTGTTTCCTTCAGCTGTAACAGACTTCAGACTGAGTATTCTTCAAAATGCTCATGTTTCTCCAATGACAGAGCTGAGGAATTGAAAACTGCTTCTCCATCTAGAACTTGGACTAGATTACAGGTTACAGATACCACTGCCATGCACAATGCCCCCTGACAGCTGATAAATAATGGCAGACCATTTCTCTTTTTTACAAAGTAACCCAAACAGAATGCAAAAGGCTACTCTAGCAGTCTGCAAGCAACCAGAGCCTTGTGGCAGCAGGACATGGGACACAGCACCTTTAAGGAAAAACACAAGCTCCAGCAAATGTAGTCTGGATCAGGCTAAATATGGCATAAGAAAGGCTGCTACAAATTAATTTAAGAACTCGGTAGCATTGATATTTTCTATAGGAAGATCATTTACCAAGAGAGAGTTGTTCATTCTTACTAAACCTTAAAAATCTAAATCTGAAGTAGTCAGAACAGTTCTACTATAATAAGGCAGTTTAGAAAGCAAGAATCTTGGAGCTATTCTAAAATGTAGCAGATGCAAGCAAAAAAGGTGATTCTTACAACTAAAAAGCTCATTAAAGAGAGCACCATGTTGCCAGACATGGACATAAAAGTTTAGTGGGTCTGTTTCCATGTCCTTCCAGTCTCTTCAATTTATTACAGTCAAAAACTAGCTCACCATTTAATGAGTCAGCAAACTGATTTACTCTTAGTAAGTCTGTTTCAGGTTGGGAGGCACTCCAACTATATCAGAGCCAGTTCACATGCTGCTTGAAATAGGAGTTAACAATGCAAAAACTTACTGATTTGGCACACAATGTTATGTATTGTTTGACTAAAGCACAAACAGATGTCCAATTCTCTGTATCCAAGTACCTCACAGCTGAGATCTAGGTTTAAGAAGAAAATTTCACTAGGTTTCTGGTTGAAGGGTAAGCTGACATTCAGGTAAACATCCAAATTTTAATTATCTTTTCTGTTGAACTCCAGGGAGGTTACATGGTACAGTTTGGTTTAATTATTAGCCAGACATTGCAGAGCAAAATGACAAAATTCTACTAGATTAGGACAACAATCTCATATATAGACATACTTCACCCATATCATCTTCCTCCTCCTCCTCTGATGTAACTTCTTCTGTTGTTCCATTCTGCAATACAACAATGAAAGGTCTGCATAAATTTTGCATACTCTCCTTGCTTTCAAAATCAGCAAGTCTACTCTCAAAGAGAAGCAGTAAATGCAAAAGTTACATGTCAAACTTCAGCCCTTTGCAGATACGGGTAAGATGCATAAAGATGATTTCCTGGTATATGACAGTGAAGAGACTTTTTCACAAAGCAAAAATAAATAGAATGTTTCAATTAATTCCAATTAAGTTGTAAGTAGAAGCTTTAAATTCAGATAAGGAACATCCTATTCTGAGACACTGTCAAATGCAACAAACACATCAAGTGGGTTACAACCCACCATCCCTTAAGCATGAAATCAGATCATGGCTCTGACTAGAATCCATCTACAAGCTACACCCCTAGAAAGAAAAAACTCAATGAACTTTAGACCTCCAGAACCTGATGGATTCTTTTTCTCACTACCTGGAACTGCCATGCAGCCACTAGTATCATCATGTAGCCATTGCTATTAGCCTGTTTGAGGAAATAGCAAAACAATACACTGAGTTAATTTTTATGACTCTCTTTCAGGATATCACTCCAAGCTCAGGAACTCTGAGCTGCAGAAATACTCAGGAGTATTCTGATATGCTTGTCCTCTGCTCACTCTTCCTTTGCCAAAGTAATGACACTGCTCTAGACAATATATGGGAGCAGAGAAGTCTTTGGTCAGAGTTACTAAGACCCCTCTTATTTCACTTGAAATTGTCTGACATTTCTGGCTAAGAAACCTTGCATGAGTTTGTTTTTGAATTTCACAGCACATGTGAGACCCTTCACAAAGCTACACCCTAATAGCACAGCCCATTGCCTTACAGCTGCACTGCTGAGTGGGTGGCTCAGAAAAAGGACCTACCTATAGATTACAATTTGGCATGTGACCAAAAATTAAGCAAGTTATTTGTCATTACTATAGCACTGTCACCACAGGAAAGCATCTGTTAATCTAAAGGAGTATTTTAGTAATCATGTCATCTTAATGTGTATAGACAAAAGAAGATCCCATAATCTTATTAAAAAACAGAAAAGAACAGCTACTGTCAGTTACCAGTTCTGTTTTCAACACAATACAAAACATTTTGGTTAATGTTTTAACCTCAGGCCTTCACAATTCTTAATTTTTCAAGTCCACAAGAAATAAGCAAGGTACCTCCCTACCCAAAGTAACATATGGCCTTGACATCCCATGTCTCTGCAAGGGACTGAAGAAGGAAAACATCAACAGTAGTTCATCCAATTGCACACTGTGAAACACATACTCTTCCACAAAGAGCCAAATATTTCAAAAAAGTAACTTTGGGAAGCACTCCAAGTGCACAGAGATTGGCTTGAATAGTGTTAAGGAGGGAATTAAACTTGACAGCACTGGTATCACATACACACCTTGCAGTGATACAGAAACTTCAAAGGGAACTGGGTAATATTATCACACCATTATTAAATGGATTTTGTAACTAAAATTCAGATTGAAGACACCATAATGCAAAGGTGCTTCGTATCTCAGTTCTGGTTTACACAAGGTTCAATCTTTCCCATTATCTTGTTTCTTGGAGTTAAAAAAACAATTCTTTTATTGGCATAAGAAGGTGTCCACAGCTTTTTTGATTTACCTGTCCAGCTGGCAATGGCTGATCTAACATTTCAACATCTGGATGCTGAGGAAGATTATATAATCTGCAGAGGTCACATATTAATCGCTTCAGCTGCTGAAGAAGCTAAAAACAACAAAAACACATGGATAAGTTCATTTAAACCAAAGCACAGAGAAATATATTTCGAACTTTCTTTACACATTGATATTGAACTTGAAGTCAGTGTACAGCATTTAACTCTGCTAAGGCTGGAATAAAATTTCTTCTGCAATCTTTGTAGTAAAGTCCCCACAACAGAAACTCAAGGACATGGCAAGTTAGCAATGACTCCCATTCATCTTCCTATGTATAAGAAGAAAGCCATGAGCAGAAAAACCAATTTTGGTCTGACAGCATCATCTATTCCAAGCATAGGTGTCTGAGCCACACATCACTATGGAATAAGCAAATGGTCACATTCCATGAGATAAAATAGCCTATTCCCATTTCCCAGCTTAAATAACCAAGGAGGAACAGTCTGGTTTTCCATGCCCTGAATTCCTTCACAGGGTACACCAGTGAGGCACAGAAGCAAGACCAACCCTGTCCAAGTCCCAGGAGCCAGGAGGGCTCTGAGCTGGAGCCCAGGCACTCTGCTTGCTGTGTCTTGTGTCAAGGTGAGGCACAATCTGTTTCTATCTCTGATTTGTGTTTCCAGCCTGTTCCACTGATTGTGCTCTGTTCACTGCAAACTATGCACCACCTCACACTCACTAATGTAAAGCAGAAAAAACCATTAAGTTTGCTCTTTGATCATCACACTAATGAAGATGATTTCTACAGCTCTTCACTTTCTGTAGGCAGCCTCAGATTCCTAGCTAAGGCCAAGATATAAAGATTATACTACTGCATTTCCTACCTTTCCAAGGTCTTTGCACTGCTATGTCAGGAAAACAAAAAAAGGACTGCAAAATCTATTTATAAAAGGGTCAACATCTCATCATTTGCAAAATACTAACCTAGATGAAGCTTGCAGAAATCATACATCCATTTATGGACTTTTCTTCCCAAACCCAAGGAGAATTTGTCCTGCCACTTGTTGAGGGCAGCATGCAAGACAGGCATTTCTGCACACACACTCCAAAATACTTGTCTAAAGCCTTGCCATTGGCCCCTTTAAATGCTCTCACCTTACCTCACTGGAAGTGAAAAATTCAGTCTGTCCAGGGTTAAGAGCTCATTTCCAAGCCCTAATCACTAGCAGTGATAGGAAAACGTTGCCCTTATGCTATCTGAAAGCTTCAGTGCTTTTCCCTTCTACAGCAGAATTCAACATTGTGCTTCATAGGAATGTTATTTATCCATCTGAGGCCATGAACTGAGGTACCAGCCTGCATTAGAACACTATCACATCAAGTCTGCTGCTTCTGCATCATTCATGATAGTCAACCCAACCCCAAAATAAAGCAGATAATCAACCTAACTCAGAAATAAAGCAGATATCACCTAAAGGACTGAGGCACCAGCACCACATTTCTTAGGGGTATATACATGAGTCACGATAGGTTTTGGCAAAAACCCTTCTGTAACAATCACATTTCTCATCAGCACCAAGACTCTACACTTGTTTGAATCTTCTCAGGTATCCAGAACATAATGAAATTGTTTAGCAGACAGGAATCAGGTTAATCAATCAAAAAGTTGGTTGCCAGATAGAACCACAGGTCTTAGAACTATTATTTTCAGTAAGTGCAAGATACTTAGAATTGCACTGCTCTACATTTTGTTGAGAAACTTTGCACAAACATTGCTTCATGGAGAGCTGGAGCATAAACCATACAATTCCAGGAGCTGTAACTTTTCTCACAGATTTCTTAAATCTTCTGTGAATCATACAAAACTAAATCTAAGCAGTGAGGGAAGACTGCCACCATTGGGCTGGTCAATTAGCACTGCCCTGGAAAAGCAGATGAATAGGGTATTAGATGTGCCTTGACAGAGAAACAGTAAGGACTGGAGAGTTAAGAACTGCTGCCCTGCTTCCTTCAGTCCCCCTCCTCCCCACAAATATTCCTGACAGCTGAACTGGAATTCAGAAGGGATTTTTGCAGCCAGGACCTACCACACTGTGAGCTTCCCTTGCTTCTGAGCACAGCACCACAAGCAAGGAACAGGAGCACCCTCAAAACAACAAGGTGCTGGCACAGCCTGGGCTGAGTTACAGCTGTGCCTGACAAGGGCCTCCAACAGCTCTTCACCACCTCATTTCCACTGCACCACAGATCACTCTGCTCTGTGGCACTTCCCAGCCTTGTGGCAGATCAGTTCTGGTGTGCTTCAGCACACATGCACCATTTCATGATGAAGGAGAAGGCAGAGACCTGCTGAGAGCAGGGATCCCCTTCCTTGGCAGGATTCTACACTGCAGGGTTACCTTAATGCAACTCACACTGCAGTTCATTTTTATAGATCAGCTGCTATATTTGCAATCAGTGTCTACAATTTGCAAAGGCGGTGGCAGAGCAAGAAGCTGATCCTGTCTGTACAACCTTTCCACCCTTTTTCCTTATTGCTACATTTTTCCTCCACAGGAATTAATTGAATACCATTGACCTTTCTGCCATGGGTCACCATCACTGTTATCCCTTATCCTCTGCTCATCTGTATGAAAAATCACAGGGTAATTTGAGCTGAAAGTCACGTCTGGAAGACATCTGATCCAGCCCTGTGCTCTAAGCAAGATTTGGTATGTGTTGGTATGTACATGAACAGACTATCAAAAGGGAGAGCAGATTTCTGTCATGTATTAATAATTTAAATGTATTTCCAGGGTAACTTCACAGGCTTGACTACTGTAAAATGAATGCTTAACACACACACTTGGAGGCTACTACAGAAAAGTGAGCTATCAGCACACCAGGAGGTGCCCTGGAGTACAAACTGCCTAGAGCACAAAGTCAACAGCAACCAGAGCTCCTAACCCACAGGGTAAAGGAGTGATGTGAATAGCCTGCAGAAGGGAAACCCTCAAGTGACCAAACACAACACACTTCTAAATTTGTTAAAATGATTATAATTAGCATCAAAATAACAAAAAATACACCATTAGAATACACAGCCTCTATAATTTTTAATGCTTCAAGAGTTCTGAGAAGTTGGTGGTTCTTTTGGACACAATAATGCTGGTTTAGAACACCTCTTGGAACTGTGTTTCCTATCTTAATGTCTTGCACATTTGAAAACAGTTTAAAACTATTTTTTCTGAAAAATTCCTAGCCGACACTAGGAAGCTTTTTAATGTATGAAGATTTCTTCCTAATGTAGTATGAAAGCATTAACAATTTTAGGATACCTTTGATGGTATTAATATCCTGCTGGGCTCACTATGAAACATCCTGTTTCCTGATTACGAAGAAAAATGAATTTAAGAAGTACAGTTTAAGCATAAAAAGCCTTCATTATTCTGTGTGTCTCTACCTACACCCACAATATCTATATAAAAATAAATGCATCGATAAATCTTAGCCTACCACTGAGAAAGTGCTGAAGAAGGATACAAATGGGAACAGAGGGAAGCAGTCATTGTCACTTGGAGTATGGCCACTACTGGGTTATCAGGTGCCAGTGACAGTACCTGGCCTGGCCTCCCCCACACTCTGCAGCCTTGGGCAGCTTCAGACCAAAGCAAAGCTGATTCCTGCATTTTGTCTGCTCGACTCCCACTGCAGAAATAGCTGCTGCCACACTGGGAGTCTGCAAGAGACATTCTTCCCTGGAATGCCTCTGTGTGGGACTGAATCTAAAATATTAGCACAGAAGCAGTGTATTTCAAGACAGCAGCTTACCCAAGCTGTAAACATACTTATGCCAGGAATTGTGTACTTACTTTTGACATCTTTCATGCAAATTTAAGGTCTAGAGTGTGAGAATTAAAGCTGCCTCTCTGAATTTCAGCCCATTTCCCTATTCTCTTTAAAAAGCAAACCTCTAAATAGTGTAGAGTTATAGTTAACATCTCATGAAATAAGGTTTGAGGCTTCAGACTCGCATCATGTAACTTCCATCATATTAAACAGAACAAGGGAAATCACAGTGAGATTTCTCTTTTGCATAGCACAGCCACTAGAAGGCAGATGGCAGTTCCACACTTAGGAAATCTAAAGCATGGCTGATTTTCAGAAGGAAATTCAGGAGACACCAGGGGCTGAAAGAACTCTGTAGCCTTTTCATCTGCTGACTGAAACTTGCCCGACATTGACAACCAAGCAGCTAAGCTGTCCAAACCTGAGGATATCCATGCTGATCACATTCTTAATCATCTTTCAACATTTTTACTGTTTGGATGAATTGTCATAGTAAAAGCAACATGCTGGTGCAAGGTAATTGCCACAGTTTCAGACCCACAGAAGATTTTCCAGGAAACACATGTAGGATTTCAACATCATAAATCAGTTTTTGTGTTACCATGTCAAATGACAAGGCTTCCACATGTCAAACATTTATGCCTGAAGAGCATATTCTTCAGTTTCCCAAGAGCTGACACCTGTCCCATATTACAAAGCAGGTAGAAAGGGCAGTAGAATACCAAAGGCTAAAGCAGGGTACATGTGCTAGCACTGCTTTTAGCACAGCACTCCTGCAAGAGTCCTATGCCTTCTTCCATTCAAAATTTGACTGCTCCAGTAACTCTGAGTTTAGAGCAACATGGCACTAATGATCCTTTACCTGCAGTAAATTAAATGAAAGGTAGTTTGAAACATTCTAGATTATTCTAAATTAAACTAAGTGAATTTTTATGAGACTGTGATAGATTAGAAGCCTTTGGATTTGTACTCCTCTATCTCTTCTTTGCTGCAAAAAGTCTCTGTGTGAGTGCTCCATGCCATTGAAAGGGAGGGAGTTCTATGGAGAAAAGTTGAAGGGAAAAAAAAAAAAAAAACAAATTAAAAAGTCACAAGCCACGTCTTTGGAGCAAAAAATCAGATTTTGTAGTGCAAGTATTTGTCTCCTCAACCACTCCCATCTGCCTTCACCTTGGCACAGCACTAAGCAGGGTGGATTCCTGAGAAACCAATGGGCCATCACAGGTGTCTATTACATCAACCCAGCAGCTTTTTTACATGGGCAAGTACAATCTTGATAGCAGAAGCTGTTTTCTTACCAGCTACATAAGCAGTCCGTGTGCATATGCAATTCAGCACAGCCCCATGCATGTTTACAACAAAGCTTTCCAGCCTCTTGCAGGCAGTTGCACACAGGAATTACCTCGTTCAGAACCTGAATATCAGCCACACCAGCTTCAAGCTGCACCATCTTCTGAAAAGTGTCTTTAAGCAAAAAGCTCATTTAGCCAGATTTTCTGCTACTGCCCCTTTCCAGGCAGAGCTTAAAGACTAAGATTTATAATATTCTCCTGAATGTAGTTCAGTCAAATTGAAGTAGAAAATACAGAGATGTACATGTTGTGCAATCAGATCCAACAAAATGCATGAAAGCCCTAACGTCCCTTTACAATTGTTTTTAATTATGGCAAGGCCCACAAAGACTCACTTTTATTAGTTTCCTAATTATTTTTGCTAGAAGTCAAATGCATCCTATCTTCAGATGCAACCTATCTTCAGAAAAAGACACTTGTACATTTTTACGTAAGGCTGGGTATCCTAGATGAACATTATCCCAACAAACATAAGTAGTGGGTTTTCTGCAGAAAGAACATTCCAAATTTTTCCCAAACCAGACAAATACTAAGCACATAATCCAAGCAATAAGCAGTATTCTGATTTGTTTAGTATGTATTGCATTCATGTCCACCAAAATAAACACAAAATGTTAATATCATCTATTAATAAAGATCACCTGAGTTTGTCAGTATGCTGCAATACCCCTTTTTGAGGCACAAACTGCATTTGTATTGAAATTTATTTCCAAGCTCTATTCAAGGGCAGTTTCCTAGAGAGACTAGGAAATTAATTTTTTATATTAATGTGCCTTTCCTCTGAGCTCCCATCACTACATTAAAGGGTATTTAAGTAAGATACAATGCTTGAGAGTTTTCTGAAATACAAAACAGCCATCAGAATCTGTATACAAAGATTTCCTTTAGCAATTGTCCAAAGTCACAACATTGCTTAAATGTATCAGTACCTAAGAAACATTCTGATGAACCAGAAGCTCTCAGGTCAAGGTTCCTTTGAAAGAAGGAAAGGTTAAAGAAACCAAGAATCCTTGGTATTAGAGTAATGGTTTGGAGAATATACATTCTCAAGAGTACAAAGTTTTGCCTCTGCAATTGATTTCTGTGCAAAGAAAACTCTACAACAGCTCTCTTATTCAGCAGTTTTAACATTTTCATCCACTTCACTGTTTAAATATTTTCAGAAAACATCACACTAATTACTGGGACTGAAACATTACTTAAAAGCTTAGTCACTAAAAGAAGTTATCTTTTCCTTCTTGCCTCAAATCTTTTGGATTACTTTTGGCTCCTAAGCTTTTTGGAAGAGAAAGTTGTGTTTATAAAATCCCCCAAATAACCCTAAAACTGAACTTGTTAATGTGACAAAGCCAAGTAAGCACACAATCCCAAATAAATGTCCAAAATAACCAAAATACTTCACTCACCAGAGTATTGCTCTTCTTAATATCTTCTAAACGCTCTAAGACTGAAGTCAGGTTTGGGTCATCTGATTCTACAAACCATATTGGTGATGAAGAGGGGTAAGATTCCTGTTTAAAAAAAACCAAAAAACAAAACACAAGACCCAACAAATAAGCAAAAAATCCCAAAGCTTTAAAAATCATTTACCCCCAAAATTTCATAACATAGCATTAATATCGCCTCTAATCTTACTCCATGTCAGGTAACACAGAAGCTTTTAACACCACATTTTTAGCTAATGCAAAAGAAATTGAAAGAAATCCAGCTAACTGGTTCTTCTAGTATTTCAACCTATTTTTGTCTCTCAGATGATGGATATGCATAAGAAACAGTGCTGAAATGTTTAAAACCTTGGGGGCAGGTAGGGCAGGAGGGAGAAATTTAAGAATGCGGTATGGGTGATAATTAGCAAAAAATGGAATCACAAGTAGTACATGTCAAAGAATAAAACTGATACTGATTTTTCATAAAAACAAAGCTTCCTGCAAAGAAAAGTCATCAAAGTGATAAAAGTTGGTGTCTTTAGATTTCCTCCTCAACCAGGATTATTGAAACTCTTCAGGCACCGACCCTCAGCCAAAAGCAATGCACCTTAAATGCCCTACCCTGGAGGACAGTTTAACTGGTAGATCACAGTTTAATGACAGATAAAATGTGCCATGTTATCTTTGCACCACCAAGGCTCATTGAGGACGTTCCACTATTGAAGATCTCTCATGCAATACCCTGAATCCAGGAGAGCTCACAGAGTAGCTCCATTCCATCCAGAGTCCCACAGCTGGCAGGCAGGTGCCAGGACACAGCCAGGTGACACCAAACAGCTCCCAGGATTACCAGTGTGCTCCATTTTCCACAACAAGCCATGGTTTGGGCACATGGAACCCATGAAGAGATGGGAGCCACAGCTGCTCATGGGTGCCAGAGCATGCAGCCCTTCCAAAGGTGCTTGGCAGACCCCTGCTACAGAAAGGTAAACACAAAGTCCTTGGCTCTTGCTCAGACATTCTAAAAACCAACTGAATTTTTCTCCTCACACAGGTTTGGTAAGATTGTGAGGATGGAAAATACCATGTAGTTTCCAACTCAACAGTAAGTGTCCCTTCACATCATTGATGTGTGTGGATTTTACTTGTTTTGCTTTAGTCATTAAAGGCATTCTCCACTTCTCACTCTTTCAATTAAATTTTAGTAGTGAGGACAAATTGCTGAACCTCAGTTTTATCACCCAGATATTATCTTCATATCCCCGGGTCTTACAAAATAATGAGGGAATTTTCATTCATTTCCCTCACTGCAGTTGAAAAGGGAAAAAATGCATCTTTCTCATTCCAGAGACAATAAATTATGCTTCATTCTTCAACAGTTAACAGGCAAGGTTTGAAAATGAGAAAAATACATGAAGACAGCATGTCAGAACTGGCTTTAATTAAAGCATATTTCCTAACTGACCTTCTATCTGAAGTGCTGAACCCCATAAACAAAGCCATATGACTAAAGGGCACCAGCTTTGGCAAAACACACTGACATCATACTCCAGAGAAGTTCTAGATAGAGAGGTCTAAAATCCCACCTGTAAACTGAAGCCTCTACATAAACTTATTTTTTAACAAGTTCAATCCCCTCAAGTTTACGTATATTTTTTTTTCCTATTCACAGCTAAAAATTCCTTAAAGGAATACTTGATATTCCCAGTATCTTTATGCAAAAAGACATCTTTCATCTTCACTTCAAAGCACACTATACTATCCTTCACTTGCTCTTTGTATTTCTTGATGGGAATGTTGGTGTAATCTAAAGTCATGGCAGTAGTGTTTACCCCACTGCCTTTCTTGTAACTTCATGAGCTGGACAGAGAAATTTGGGTCTCAAGAACAGCTGGGTGGAACAAGTACTCAGGCAGTGGGGCCACAGTTAGCAGAGATTCCCTTGTGCTGTTCCCCCACAAAGCAGAGACCTCTGAGTATCTATTCTTGATTAACTAAGGCCTGACATCTCAAAGACCTATCAGGAAAGTCCAGCTTGCCAAGATTTACAGCTAAGGCCGGCTTACCGATGTGGTTTAATCACCTTCCTCCTTTACATAACACAGGGCTGCAGAAAAGTGTATTTTCTCCTCAGTTTCACTGAACAGATTAACCACTATGTCTGTGGGAGAAACAAGGCTGAATTCCCCATTGCCACTGGGTTTCTAAACTGTTATTTTTAGGAGCTAAACTTCATTAAAGATATTTCAGGTTTTGTACTGATAACATCTCACTCGTTTTTAATAACATGCAGCCGACTTGTGAACTCTTCTGCACTGGTGCAACCTTCTCACCTCAAGCCTTTCCCACTGATCTGGATGTGCAGGGGGAACAGCACAAGGGAATCTCTGCTAACTGTGGCCCCACTGCCTGAGTACTTGCTTCACCCAGCTGCTCTTGAGACCCAAACTTCTCTGTCCAGCTTAAGTTAAGAGAAAGGCAGTGGGGTAAACACTACTACCATGACTTTAGATTACACCAACATTCCCATCAAGAAATACAAAGAGCAAGCAACATCCCTTTCAAGATTCACCAAGCCATCTATTTCTTTAAAATCCTCAGACTCAACAGAATAAAAATATTCTCCAGATACAGTCACATTTGGGCTGTGCATGCATGCACCATTCTGCTAAGAGGTATTTTTGGCCTTTTTTTTAAAATCAAGCATTTTTTAAATTATGTTAGCCCAGTCCATTTTAAAAATTATGTTATTAATTGCAAAGATTTATAGAAGACAAACATCTGCTAATCCTCTCTCCTAAACTGTATCTGGAATCCAAAGACTGCTTAGAAAGTGGAACTCAACTCTTCCCTGTCTATATTCCTTTTTTCTGACAGTTCTATTTCTCCCCCTGAAGAATTTAAGGAACAACCCCACAGTAGGACACTCCTTACTGCGACCAGTATCTGTTCCAGTCTGGGGGCCTAGCTCAGTATCTCCTCCAAAACACTTGCAGCAAGTCTGTCCTCAGCCAGGGACATGACTGACAGTGCAGATCTGATGATCAAGCAATCCCACTAGGAGTTGAAACACACTGCAGTGGCTACTCCAATGTGCTGCTGCCTCCTGCTCCGAGTGACAGCTCTTACTCGCGGTTTACACTCCCTCCTTTCGTGCCCTGAAAACAAGCCCTGCCCTCCTCTCCCCTCCTGCAGGTGAGAAAACCTACAAGGACTCAATACTGCCTGGATTATTAGTGTGTGTATAGCACACATGAATGACTGTGTCCTAAAAATTATTAACCATTCCAATTTTTAGTCTGATCTAGCTTTTGAAACATGAATGAAAGAGTGCACTTCTCAGAAAGGCTCCTCTTTAACATTGCAAGCACATTTACTCAGCTGTATCAGAAAATACTTCAAGTTTTAGATTTCTGGCATATGATTACTTAATTGCACATTCCAACTTTTTCACAACAGATGATTAATATTAAAATACAAATTCAATTAAACTTCTGTTTTGTTGCCACGCTTAATTCTTCACACTTACCAATAAATATATTCATTTAATTTAAAAATATAAATGGAATTAAGTTTCTTTAGATCTGTAAGTAATCCATATTTTTGGAACAGCTGATTTCCATGCGGATATGAGTCACTATATTTTGAAATACAGAATTCACACATGAACTTCAAACATTCTGAACTTGAGATATAAAAAGGCTCATGAGTTTGTAATAGCCACAGCAGGCAACTTACAGCTAAGCTTGTGGCTTGTAAGGTCAAACAACTGAACTTCACATGAGCTAATTCTGTTGAGAGAATTAAGGCAGCTTTTTTTTCTGTATCTGTATGCTACAGAGGTAAGAGGTGGGTTTGAGCTGTTGTGCCATGTAAGGAACACAGGCTTCTCAAAGACCTTTCATGAGAGGAACCCTGAAATAGCAGTTATTTTACTATTAATTGTCAGTGGCTAAAAAGCCCCATAACTGCGAGCCTTTCATTAGAGAGCTGCCATGCAGTGATTTTGTCTCCATAATCTCTCTCAGCTGCACAGCTCTCCCCATATTCAGCACTGGAGATGTTTTATGTAACTGCTGCTTTTTTGCTGCTCTCCACAAGCGAGGGCAGGGGCTCATTGCCCAGGCAGGGCCGTGGGCACAGCAGTGACAGGACAGCAGTGACATCACACCTCCCTGCACGGCAGGACAAAGGCAGGATGTTTACAGCAGCACAGATACAATCACAATTCATGGCATCATCACTTCTAGAGACTCTTTGTATCAGCACCGGGACAGACTGGGAGCTTTGTGAACGCAAACGCTTCTGTGACAGAACGCGGTGAAAGAATTTAGCCCGCTAATAAACACACAAAATACAAAGGGAATAAAGCCCTGCACTCCTGCCATGGGAACAATTTCAAAACTGATCAAAATCATTTCGAAAAACCACTGTGTTAGAAGAATACACACGGGATCTCACTGTTCAGACATTCCATTACACCCTCTGTAAGAGCTCTACTTACATTTAATAATTTTGCTAACCAAAGGGAAAAAAAATAAATAAAGCAGCAAAATGTGACAGAAGATTCCAGGACCACACACATTAAGACAGCTTTTCCTGGGCAGGATCTGTCATCTAAGTATATCCTATCTAAGCTTTCTCATCCTTAACAATAAGGCTGTTTCCTTGCCATGTTACATAATCTTCAGCCTGCTTTCTAAAGCTACAGTGACACAATTTTGACATCAGTAGGAGACTTTTAAATGAGACATTTCTAAATTACTACAATACTTTTAGAATTCTGATGTTGCTAAATCAAAACAAAACAACTTCCTCTGAGTCTTCACATTAGAACAACCTGTACTTGCAGTTTGCTACAAGGCAAAAGAGTAATCATCTCTCCTTGTACACAACTGAGCCATTTTATCACAGCTAAATGGCAGGAACACACATTTAAACACATGGCTACTGCATCATGATTTAAAATCATGATGATGTGGTGACAGTTCCTTATTTTCTTTAATTTCCCAATAATACTAGATGGAAAAAGTGTGGGGGTGGTTTCTTTTAAAAATCCTTAGCATACCGTCTGAATAAATTTC